TGCCAAGTAGTTTCATTTGATCAAAATTAATTTTTTAATTATTATCCATATGTTATATAAAAAGCATGTATTAAAATTTACTTCCACATAATTATTAATTTGTTATGTAAATCACTTATATAAAATCCTAATTATTCATTTTTCTACCCTAAATAACTCTAAAAGCATTACTAAAGTTACATGCTTAAAAGTTAAAGTGACAAATAAATAAGAATGGAATAACTATAATCTTTTTGGTCCATAATAGTAGTCTTTATTTTACAAAAAATAAAATAAAATTTATCTTCAATTATTTGTTTGAGAAAAAATTTAAGACAAAAACTATTATTGTATGTAAAAAATTGTTGTTTAATTTGAATTGTATTATATTACACAATTAAAATCATCAGATGGAAGATAACTTCTAAAATTAGGCACGCTCCTCTCATCTAAGAGTTTTTGTTTCACAATTTAATCTAGTTTAAATTACAAAATAAGATTCTCTATTATAAGTAAAGATAGTATTATGATTAATTTATATGTGATTGAAGGAAATTAAAATGTTCTAATAATTAAAATATCAAAAACAATAATAAAAAGATTTAAATATTTTTAATAAATTAACAAATAAAAAAGATTCATTAAGAGCATTTAAATAATTTCATAAATAATTTTGACATTTTAAATGCCACAACATTTTAATTTTTACATTCCTAAATTTAAATTTATATTTTATTAATTTTATTAACATTTGTTATCGCAGCTTATGCAAGACATGAGACATCCTCAACATAAATTTCAAAAAAAAAAAGGTAAACTACACAAAATTAATAAAATGAGCATCATAAACCTTTAATTTTCAGTCAAAAAATGTTTCTCAAAGACAATTAACCAGAACCAACACACAGACGACACAAAATTGTTAAACATAAAATGAACAACAGAAATCAAAATCCTGTTTTTTGAACATCCCTTATCCAGTCAAAATGTAAAAAATGACAAAACAAAACAAAGCCTTCCAACTAAATTGATCTATATTGAACAAATAACAGACTAATGTCGCTTGAAATGCAGATAAATAGCATTTCCTACTTCCTAGAAGGGCCTCTGGAAACTTCCAATATTAAAGAGAGTATGAACATAGGCAGCCTCACTGATAAAAGGGATCTCAGCGTAATTGCCACCAAGAGCATACCTTATACAATATAACAAGGTGAAAATGAACGTAAATGCGATGGCCGCACAGAAGTACATCCCAAGCCTGCCGTTGAAGTGTATGAGCGGAAAAAAGTTGCACGTATAGCATAGTATCTGGAATGCTGTTTCCAGTAGCATGCCCATCATTAGATGGAACCGAAGGTAGTGAGGCCAATTTTCGTTCTTCACAATCCCAACATACGCAAAGTAGAAATATACCATAATGAACCAAGGTGGCAATCTTTTAATGGCACCTGGAACGAAGAAAACCAACTCTTCCAAACTCTGGTAGTGTTTTAGGAGTGGGTGAATGTAATATCCAGCATCAGAAATCTGCAAGGCTAACAAATAAGGGACACATGCCAAAGTCCTCCACCACCATTCTGGCTTCTCAGTTATTTCAGGGTACCGAAATTTGAATATATCATTATAAACAGCTCTTGGGGGAGTAAGAGATCTATGCTGTTGATGTAACATTGTATTTGTATGTGATATGCAACCTTGCTCTCTGCCTAAAAATTGTGATGACGTGGCTGCTATGTGATTGATTTGTTTTCCTGCCAAAAGAAAATAAATAAATAACCAAACATGATCCTATATACGATAGTTGAGAAAATGTCTATTTAAGATCTTCGACATTACATAGCTTTGTTCCAGCAAAGGTTTTTAAAAAATCTGGGAAAGGATGGGTTTTACTAAAGCTTGATCTATATAATATGCATCTACACAACATGGTAGATCCTGTCAAATGCCATTATATTCAGCTCAGTCATGAAGATACTTATATCTCACATAAAAGATATCCACCAATCATTCTAGTCTTGTGGATTCAAAGCAAAAATTGGTGTAAAAAAGGCTGATCACTTTTCTCCATAAACATGAAGGTAATTGATCAGCCCGAGGAAGTTCTTTGAGTCAATCACTGTGGTCATGTTTGGTTCATGGTATGGCTATTTCACCGTTGCTTCATAAAAATTAATTAAAATAGAGGGGATTATAGCAAAATTTAATGACCATCCCTACTACCATACTCTTTGTTTTACTTTATCTTCATGTATTAACTATGTAAATAGTCGTTCTATGAATCAGATATGACCTAAGAGTTTCAGGATAAGCATCAATTCAGGAGATGTTCTCTCCATAAGTGACCTGTTAGTTTGTTACAACTCAAAAAGTCACAAATCTATTTATAAAATCCTTTCAATCTGTTGAATAATCTTAAGGAATAACTAGAAGACTTCCATTACACACGCACACACACACACACACAAAAGAAAGATAAAGAAAAACAAACAAAAGACCGTGGAGCCTTCTTGGTCTTCATCCACATGGTACGTTCGTTACTAATAAAGTTTGCTTTTCATCCTTGTTGGATCATCATTAGATTTATTGAACTTATCCTTTAACAATGAATATATCTGATTATCAGCAATAAATTAGTTTGAAAACTAGTTTCTACTCTAGGATTGACGTTTTATAAATCACAACAGCATAGGTGCCAGAAATCAATTATATTCAGGAAACCAAACTTCGATAAAGGAAGAAAGAATGAACAGAATACCAGAAGAATGCAAACAATTCAGTTCCTGATTAGTTCCCTGTGTACTCCTATTGCTTGAAAACAAGTGACTAGCTTTCACGTTCGACTTGCAAGCAAGCACCAATGACTTCTGTGTCAAGGAGATCCTGCTGACCCGCTTCATATTCACATCTTTAAACCTGGTTTCATGACAATAACAAAACTAGTTTAACATAGAAAACAACCTAAGAAGAGGATACAAGACAAAAATTCACTGTTTGATAATGGGTCAACTAGTTTTTCTCGGTTAGAAGGATTGTTTCTTGTCAACTAATTAGACCTGCCAATAACTCCCAGCCCTCCCCACATTTGAAAAGGCAAAGAATAGCTATGTAGAGGCAATAAATCATCACACTGTACTTTCCAGATAATTATTAAAAAAAAAAAAAAAACCCCTATCAAAACATCCCAATGAATTATCCAACCATATGTGCCATAAAAGAAAATCAAGTGTTTTCCCCTTTGAAACTAATTCAAAAAAACTATAGAAAAATGGGGGAAAAATAAAGGTCACAAATTGGAACCATTTGAGCAACATCCAGATAAGTTTTAGCACAGAGGTCCAAGTTTCTGCAGATAAACTGCCCCATAAAGATGTTGAATTAAGAACCCACAATTTTCCCAACAAATTTGATCTGTAGAACAAGTAGCCACTTTTAATCTCAGCATAAAAACGAATACCATTCCCCATTTACATATGTCTTCTCTAACTAAAATTGAATTTTTAATTATGTTCATAAAAAATGTTGACCCAACTATCTATAATATTGAAACATAAAATACACAGAAAATGGAAATTCTGATGGAAATTTATGAAGAAATTTCAAAACACAGAATCAATACGTAAGGGAACAACCAACAAAAGCAAAACCCAAATTCTCCAAAACGTAAAAGAGCTATACCCAAACAATTCAGTCCATTTCTATAAACTGCAAATGGGAATTACAAAGCAGTAATCTCTAACTGCACTCATCTTCTTTGATTAAAAAAAAAAAAAACAAGGGATAAAAAAGAGAGGAAATGCGAGGAGGGAAGAAAGCTGGTACCGGAGAGAGGCAGAAGCAGGGAAGCCGAGGGGGGCGAAGCTATAACACTTGGGAAGGGGACGGCAGCCGTCGATCGCCGGAACGGAAGAGGAAGCCATTTTGCTGCACTCTCTGTGTTCTCCGCACCCGTTCCGGTTGGCCAACACACGACCGGATTCGTTTCCTTTTATGCGAGATATATTAATTTTTTAAGGTAACTTATGTGAGATATTAAAGGCACATGGGATGGATCGGTTCGGTTCCATTTGGGATTTTTATCTAATGATGTTTTTTTATATAGTTATAATCCACCTATTATTTCCTTAAAATTATTTAATTTTATTTAATTTAATCATTAAAATAATTAATATTTAATAAAATAATTTATATTTATTATCTAATATATTAAAAATAATTTATAAATCTATACTTTTAAATATCATAATTAATTATTTAATAAAAAAAGCTATAAATAAAAAACTACCAATTAAATTAGATAACTTTTAAATAGTTTTAACAAAATAATAAGTGGCATAATTAGCCTAAAAAGATCCCTGGTTTTTCACGTTTTTTATTTGTTTGACCGAAACGGTTTATTTATCTAAAAAGGGGAAGGATGACTGTGTTTTACGTCGGTTCATTACGATCTTCATGGGCTGATTAAATCCGGATTTGTATCATGGGCCCTTAAGGCTGAGTTGATGGTTCAATATGCTCTTGAAGGGCTAATTAAATCCGGATTCCTATCATGGGCTTTTAAGGGTCAATTCATGATTAATAGAGGCTTTACCCCTCTTTAGTCCCTTAATTTATAAAATTTAAAGTTATTGGCTCCTCATATAAAAATTTATAAGTATTAATCCCTTAATAATATAAATGGGAAAAATTTACCTTTATTTAAGGGATTTTAACTAACAATATTAGTCAACATTAATTTTCATCAAAGTCATTGACACGGTCAACATTCCTATCCTGCATGACAAACCACTATGGCAATTAATAAAAGACAATGATATAGAGATAACCTTTTTATATAATCTTTTAATATAACTTCCATATATCATAAATAAATAGATGCACTCAATATCACAGGTTCAAAAAGAATAAAAAGATTTAATCATTTAAATGTTATATAAGGTTGTACCAAAAAATGGTACAAAAAGATTGTTTTTGAATCATGTTCCTCAACCAAAAAAAAAAAAATCCACTATTGTTGGCTATGTTGTTGATTTGGATGGAAATTAAGTTTGACTAACAAACTAACAAACTAACAGTGTGAGTTAAAATCTATTAAATAAGGGTGAATTTCCTCAATTATATTGTTGAAAGGCTAATACTCTTAAGTTTGTATGTGAAGGGCTAATCATCTTAAATTTTATAAGTTATTGGGCTAAATAGGGGGTTAAGTCGTTAATAGAATCATAGACAAAGGGATTCATATATTATAATTCAAATTATATATTAAAAGCGTAGTCTACTCTATAAATTTAATAAAATATCTTTAATGAAATAATATAAAAAATAATTTCATTAAGAGTATTTTAGTAAATTCATAGGGTAGACTATACTTTTAATATATAATTTGTGCTGTAAAACACTTTTTTGATGGACAAATCTCAAAATTGTTTACCTATGCTCTTTTTTAGTAGGATTATGGTTTTTGATTTTTGGTTTTGGTTTCTATAAGTTTTGTAACTCTAAACAAAAAAATATTAGTTTATTTTAATGTGTTTCTATAACATATTATTATGATTATTAGAAAAATAAAAATAATTTTAATATTATTAAACAAATTTATATTTTTTTTATTATTGGTGTTAAAACTCATTTTAAATAACTACAATCATATTAAATGTAAACCATAGTTATATGTTACTATTGAAGTGTGCACAATAAGTTGAGATGGCCGAGTTGGTCTAAGGCGCCAGATTAAGGTTCTGGTCCGAAAGGGCGTGGGTTCAAATCCCACTCTCAACAATGTAACTTTTGATGATATTGGAAGTGCGATAAAAATTGTGGATGAGTTTTCAAGGATCTATATTTTTATTTTTCCTATTAAAGTCCTTATAAAGGTATACATGCTTTGAACTAATATAGTTGTCACACATTTACTTGACAAACTTATAAAAAAAAATAAAAAAATCTATAATTAACCCCATTATTATTAATTAAAATTTTATATTTACCCTTATTTAACTTTAAAACTTTTACTTGGGTACATGTTCCTTTGCAAAATCAAGTAATTATTAAGTATGTTTTAAGGGAATAATTACGAAGTCTTTATAGGGTAGTAAAATTGAAAAAAAAAATATTTTTATTGTAAAATAAGTGATCACTAAATTGGAGAAGAACAAATATATAAAGAAGATAAGGGAAGGCAATGAAGAGAGAGGAAAAGTATGCTTTTTATTCTTCCATTTTTTTTCACTCTATCAATTTCATACAATGCTAGCCTATATATAGGCTAATTAATAATGAATATTACATAAATTTAATGGATGAACTTGACTAGATTCATAAATGAAAACTTAATTATAATATTGAATCTTTATTAGTTCTACAAATGTGACGGTTTTGTAGATATGCAGTTCATAAATATGGTGGTTCCATGAATGTGATTAATAGAACTCTGAATGAAGTCAAGTGAATATGGAAAATGAGAAATAATAAGTAAAATATATAATGTGAAACATCCATTCATTATATAATTCATAATAATTTTAATGGTTTGTTCAAATTAAAAATATACCAATAAATATAAATTAGACTACCTCCTTTTAAAGAGTGAAAAGGAAATTGATGCAAAGTGAGTATTAATTTTTCAATGGAGGGGAAAAAATGGACAAAAATAGCAGTAGGAACCCACATTTTATTGAGTTGGATATATTTGGGTAATTATTTTCATACAAGGCGCGAAAAAGAGAAAAATGAGTTTAAAGTCCAGCCTAGCTTTTTGTTAAAATCTTATAATATATTTGGATTGAAAAAAATGAAGAGGGAGAGAAAGGAGGAGAGGAGAGTTGTATCCTTCCATTTCCCTCCGTTTCTTTCTCTTTATTTAAATTAGTAACTAAATTAAAAGAAAAAATAAAAGAAAAGAAAAAATAAAATAAAAGACTTTCTTCTCCTCTAATTATTTTGATAAATAAATGGAAGAATTTTTTTTCCTAAAATGATTCAAACCAAAACCCACCATTGACCTAACAACTTCTCAATCTAAAGTCTACAAACTTCCAAAAGTTCAAGCTAAAATTATTAATAGTAATTGGTTTTGACATTTATATATTAGACTTACTCATAATTTTCTATTGATATGAGATTCAAGATGTCTATGTTTCCAATAGAAAAGTGCTTTTCAAGTTGACTTACATAAAAAGTGTAACTATATAAAAATACTATGAAATTATTTAAATATATTTAATAAATCTCTCTTGTGTTTTGTTTCTTAAGAATATTTAAATAATTCATAAATATTTTTACACTTTTTTTTTTCTTGTAAGTCAGACCAGAAAATTTGCAACCCCATTTTTTTAACAGCCTTTGAAATTTTATTAGTAAGCTGCATTGATACATTGCATTATATGGAATCGATACAACTCATTAGGTGGATAATACTCAATAAGGTGGATTTACATGTCGCATCAGATTTGCGCCTTTTTTTTTTTTTTTTTTTTTGGATAAATAGAGAATATCATAAAAATTCAAAAAGTGAGAAATCAGAGACATCTAAGCAAGTGGAACCTGGCAAGACAAATTAAAGACAATGGGGA